TCAACGCTGGAAGTCAGCGATCAACGCCGAAGTCAATGGTCAATTGTCAAAATAATATTTAAATAATTAAAATAATAAAAATAAAGAATTAAGTAATAATAATAAAGAATTATTATTTAAATGAAGAGTTAAATCTTGGCCACACATCATGTACCAATCTAGTGGCTAGGAATGAGTCTCACATTCACACTTTAAATATGTGTACTCATTAGATCCAATCCCTATATATATATATATATATATATATATATATATATATATATATGAGATTTTATGTATTTATAATTTAAGTTCAACTATAATTAATGAAAAATAGTTTTTTTGTTGAAAGAATTGATATAAATTGAACTTTTGCTCACATTGTATAATATATTTGTCATTGAAAGTTTAACAAATGAACATTTTTAATAAATACAATGAAGTTAAAAATATATGATTACACAAAAAAAAGTAAAAAATAAACATTTAAAACATATAACAATCCAACTAAATACTCGAATTTATAAATCACTAAATTAATTTACGATTAAGAGACCAAAAGAGTAAACATTATAAACATTTTCAAAAACTTATCTAGAAATGTGAAATATAAGGATTGTTGGTACATTTTTCATTAAATAAACAATACTATTAATTTAAATTAAAACTTATCTGTACAGTAATACCAAATTGATGAAAGATGGAATTTAAAGTGTGGGATGTGGAAATTTTATTTGCTTACTACGGGAATTCATTGAATCGAACTGGGAAATTCATTTGCCTGTTACGGGAATATCTTGAATGAACTTACAATTTTTGCTCGTAAAAACGTTGGAAGTCTGCGAGTGTACTCACCCAAATTAAGTAATTTATGTGTGGGATGTTTAATAAAGAAGAAAATTGGTGGCTCTATATTTATGATCCATGAATGTGGTTAGCCAGTCTGGGTATAAAAACTTCCGGTTTTGTTATAAAGCCAACAGTTGGCTTCATAGTGGAGTCAACCTTCTATATACAACAAATAAATCTACCATATTTTCTGATTACTTAAATAACACTAATATAGTTTTATTAATATGGTAGGTTTATTTGTTGTATATAGAAGGTTGACTCCACTATGGAGCCAACTGTTGGCTTCATAGCAAAACCGTAAAAACTTCTTATATGACACATCTAACAATTGTCCCATTTTCGTAGTTAATAATGTATTAATGTGTAGTGTTTCCGAAAAATTGGTAAAGGTACCGGATGGAAAACTGATGGAAAATGAGTTAGAAATCAAGCACAGGTCAAGAACGCTTCAAATGAAATTCTCCATTAACATACCACTACTTGAAATCTAAGATAAATAAAGCAACTCGCGTTGCGCGGCTGGTGTTAAAAATGAAGTGAATGAGTTATAATTTAAATAAATATATTTTTTTTTTTTTTTTTTTATAAAACATGTATAGAGATAATAAAAAGTATGAAATTTTTATTTATTACATTTAAAATATTTTTCCTCAATATAACATTAGTATTCAGGGGCGAACACAGACTTTAAGAACAACGGGGGCACAAACAACGGTCAACGGTCAACGCCGATCAAATCTATATTTAACCAACTAAAAAGTAAAAAGATTAAAAATTTTCAAACACCTTGTTTCTTATTTAATAGCTAGAATTGAGTCTCTCATATTCATTTAAGAATAGAGACACATTTGATTCAACCCCAATATAGTAATACATTTATTATAATATTTGATTTTTTTATGTTTTTCCAATTTTGGGAGAGAAGGAAATAAACAAGAAGTTGAGTATAACATAAACATAAATTCCACAACTTAAAAAATAACATACTATTGAAGGTTAAATAATTCTAAGTATTTTTTATTTATTTTTTAGATTGAATAACTTTGTAGATTAATTAATAACATGTATTTTTTTATGTCAAGATAATAAATCATTTATACATATAACATATCTATATATTATATTACACAAAATACTACAGGGGCCCATGCCCCTACGGGCTCCTATGTAGATCCGCCATTGTTAGTATTGAATGTATTGTATTCATTATATCATCAAATAATAGAAAATATCCATGACTCTTTTTTTGTTTTTTGTTTTGTTTTTTTTTTTTTCA